ATATTTTATTAATTATTTCAAAAGAAAAAAAGGAGAGAAGATGTTATAATAACAATAGTGTCGACTGTAAGTCTAGTCATAATAAACCATTTATGACACCCTATTGTATTAGTTGTCCTTCTATACTTGAATATTAAAATTAATTACTTGAATTCATACAAAAACGCGATCGCAAAACGAAAATTAGAAAAGTAATATAATAACAGGTACATAACTTCCTGTCGCCGTCAGATGGCAGCAGCATACAGGGAGCACAAAGTCGCAGCTGTTATTGTATTACTTTTCTACTTTTCACTTTTCTATCGCGTTTTTGGATGGATTCGCATATTCTTCCGGATTAAAGAAATTTATTAAATATGTACGATTAATGTTAAATCAAAGCCGTCAAAATATTATTCTTGTGAAAAAAATTTGTTTAACTATTATTTTTATACCTAGACAAATTTAATAGAATCGACTGGAAGTCTAGTCATAATAAACCATTTATGACACCCCATTGTATTAGTTGCCCTTTTATACCTGAATATTGAAATTATATAGTAATATTACTTGAAATATATGTTTGTTTCGTTTTAACAACATTATGTAAGGTTGAGTTCAAATTAAGATATAATGAGATTAAATAATTATTATATTAATTGAAAGTTCTAATATTTAATTTGTTGTGTATTATATGTAAAGAAATTTTATTTAATTGTTTTAAGTAATTGTACTTTATACATATATGATTCTATACATAAGAATAAGATATATACGTAAACACTCTTTAATAAATAGTTAATTGTTTACTCAAATTTTTTCATTTCAAGAATCTTAATTATAGACATAAAAACTCTTCATGAAAGAAGATAATATTAAAGTATTCCTTTTGTTGTATTTCCAAAAAAAAATTTTCATTTAATATTAGTTTATTTTTTTCACCGAATATATTCTTATAAATAAATTATTTATTACATAGAAAAATTATTTATTTTTTTTTTAAATATCGTCCTATCATTAAAACATTTTTTACTTGTCAATCAATATCTTAATTATATAAAACAATTACATATTTGTCTGTTATGAAATAAACACTGCTTAAATATTTTATTTGTACTTAACGCATAAAATACATTAGAATAATGTGTTGTAGAGTTTATAAATTTCACAAAATTTGCTAATAATAAAATTATGAATTAATTTTTGAAAAGTTAGTTTCCCTCGTAAAGAGAATATAGTAAAATAAGAGGGAGAAATGTTCGTGTACTAGTAAAACGAGACGAATAACGAAAACGTTTAAGATCGAGTCGATTGAAACGTTTAGGATTGCCTAATGGAGAGACTCATTTATCTTGTAGAGGTAGCGGCTCGAGGATGCGACATCTTCACGTGTCGAGCGTGGTTTAAGTTATCTCTTGAACGACACTTGTACAGATACAACGGTATTTGCAAGAGATCGTGACTAGCAGTGGGGAGGAAACTATATGTAAACCTATACTCATCGCACTGCAATGAATTAAGTAGAATTATTATTGACATGAGCTTTCATTTGAAAAAAAAAATGGAAGAAAGTATCAACTAAGAAAAATGTATTTTTAAAAACTTTTTATTATAATTGAGACAAAGGGTAATTTCATTTTACTGTCTAGACTGAAGTTAATCATATAAAATTTTAAATTAATATCATTTTTTAACTACAGATAATTTTTTCTCATTTAATGACAATTACATCTCACCGAATGTAATAAGTTATTTTAAATCAATTACTTATTTCACTGACATACTAGGTTATTTGGCAATTTAAAAAAAATCTACGTTACCATTAGTCGCTAAAGAAAAGAATGGAAACTAAAAGTTGTCGACTGTATCGATAACGTAGTGATCCACATTGTCGTTAGTCGGTATAGAAGAAATGAAAGAAAATTAAAAGTTACTGGTTGTCAACCTACCGATAAGGTACGGATCTACATTTTCGTTAGTCGGTTTAGAAGAAAAGAATAAAAATTAAAAGTTACCGGCTGCCAATCTACCGATAAGGTTGGGATCAACATTGTCATTAGTCGGTATAGAAGAAAAGAATAAAAATTAAAAGTTACCGGCTGCCAACCTACCGATAATGTAAGGATCTACATTGTTGTTAGTCGGTATCGAAGAAAAGAATGAAAATTAAAAGTTATCGACTGCCGACCTACCGATAATGTTGGGATCTACATTGTCTTTAGTCGGTATAGAAGAAAAAAATGAAAAATTAAAAGTTATCGACTGCTAATAATTTAGGGATCTACTTTATCATAACAGAATTTTCTTATTTAAATACAAAAATCTTTTTTTCTAATGCAAATTAATTTATATTTGGACAAAAAAAAGACGAATTTAAAATTTGATCGGCAATATATCGCAAATTAGCTTTTCATATAATATAAAGGACTGAGTGACAGGTCGGTTTTGGAACCAAGAGTTTTGAAATGCGTCAAGTGCTATATACACCAGTGACCGCGCGCGTGGTTTAAACTCGTCAATTGATTTTCATAACGCGAACAAAATACTCAACATCAAATCTATATACACACTATAGGGGCAGATTACCACCCAGTTTCTATATACTATATATATTTATATTTGCTTTAACGTTAGTGTGTTGGTGGTGGTGGTTTGCTTGTATTTTGCATCGCGCCTCAAGAAAGTTTCACGCTGTTCTGCATAAACATTGGCTTGAAAAGTGAAAGTGGCGACGTTCCCGTAGCGTAAAGTTTCCGCAGCAAAAGGACAAGTACCCTGTAGATTGGTGTTATTACGACTACTCTATCCTTCATGAAACATCTTTATTTACATAAAATCTCATTATACACAGATTTTCCCTTATTCTTTTAGAATAAAGTCACCTTGACCTTAATGATAAAAATTAAAAAATTTCAATTTTTAATAAATATTTGTTTAAATAATCAAATTTCATTTAAAAGGGTATTTAAAGAAGATAAGATAAAATTTGGAAAATGTTAATTTATCTTTCTATTCTTTTTGATACCTCCCTCCTAATAGATTAAAAAGCCGCTGGATTTGGAGTTAAAACTAGTAAATGTAACATAAATATTAGGTCCAAGTTTAGGGTAAAAAATTAAACAACTTCAAAAATAACACAGAAAAAAACTGAACTCAGAATGAGTCGTATAGGCGGCTTATTTTGATGTGTAACAAAAATGAACCATATATTGGTGGCGCCACTTTCTATATCGTTTAGCATTGACTCATTTTGGTTTGCAACAAAAATGAGACTACGTTTTTTCTGTGTGAGGATTGACCGGTAAGAAAAAAAATATTAAGAAGGATTGAAATACTTGAACATTTTTATGGTATAGTGGAAATTATTCAATATTTTTGAATTCGATTTCTGTCCAATACGTTTGTATCTCTTGATAGGACCATGTTTCATTTGAAAATGAATTCGAATCTATTCTGTTTGGAATTTTAGAAACTGAAAATATTTTTTTATAAATACTTTTTAATTTGAATACTTGAATACTTTTGAATTTTTTTTTTTGGAAAAAGATAGTATTTTATTCTGAATACTTTTCAATTTTAGCTTCTGAAATTTTTTTAAAAATGAAAATATTAATTTTTTTTTAATGCTTTTCAATAATTAGAAATTTAGAAATAGGGTAACGCGTACAGTGACCGACACCCTGGCCATACTTTCAAATTTACATGACATTTTATCAGAATTTATTGAAGATTTAGTTATAAAATAAATTTCAAATAGAAGATTTGGATTAAAATTTATAGTACATGAGTTTAAAATTGAAAAACACTTTGATAAGAGTTTATAAATATTAATTAAAAAATATATGGTATGAAAACAGTGAAGGACACCCTTAAATAAAATAAAAAATATTTAAATTACTATTTAAGTAACATACCAGATAGCACGTAAGCTTGCAGCAACTTTGCGGCAAGCTTGTCGCGTAATATTGCCAATCTTGCACTGCAAACTTGCCGCAAGCTTACTGTAAGCTTCAAATGTCCCACTTGACCCAAGCCTTCATGGTAAGCTTACCGAAAAATTGCAGTGTATGATTACTGCAAAATTGCACAATAAGATTATCAAAAGACTGCTCAGTAAGCTTGTAGCAAGGTTGGTGCAAGATTGCCAAATAACCTTACTTTGAAACTATAACATTTTTTTAAATGTTTCGTTTAATTTATATAGTAAAATTTATGTAGAAAAATATATAAATTAGACGACAAATTTTTTTTAAAAAAATTTTTAAGTTCAAATTAATGTTATTTGGCAACTTTGCTTGGGTCAAGTGGGGCATTTGAAGCTTGCAGTAAGCTTTCGGCAAGTTTGCCGTGCAAGGTTGGCAATATTGCGCGGCAAGGTTGCTGCAAGCTTACGTGCTTTCTGAGATATAATATTTATTAATATTATCACAAATTTTATTATTCAGATTTAATGTACAAAAAAAGTTGCTTTTAAAATATAATTATTTAACAATTTCTTCATATTTATTAAAATTTTTAATTCATACAGCAAATTTTTTTAGGTTAGTTTTCTAGAAAGTAAAATATTGCACTGTAAAACGAAAGGAATTAATTTAATATCGACTTTAGGTACTAAATTGTAATTTAGTTCTATTTTAATATCTAAAATCGGTACTTTTTGGTACTTTCTTTTTACAATGTGAGAAAAATATAAACATATAAAATTTTATGTCAACTGTATCAGTTTCTTAATATTGTATATTAATTAATTTACTAGTGATATTTAATTCAATATTATTATTATTATTATTATTACTTCTATAGTTATTATAGTTTTTAATAGCAGCTGTCGTTCACTGTCAGGGTATCAGTCACTATACATCTTTTACCTTAGTAAAAGCATTATTATTATTGTAAGAATCATCATTGACGCGGATTGAATTAATTATTTTTGCGAATACTCCCACTGTATAAAAAAGTATTGAACAGAAATGTGATGCATATAAATAAGAATAGAATCATTTTAATTTTTCTTTTCTTACCTGGTATACGTCCAGAGGCCATTGGGTTTGAGGTTAAAAACAGCGAACATAATCTGAAATTAGATGAAAAGTCAAGGTCATAAGGCGAACATAATTACAAAATTCAGAGTCATACATATGACAACATATACGTGTAAGGTAGCAGTGAAAGCATTAAATGATGCAATTATAAAAAAAAGTTAACATTCACAAAATGTAGCATCTCTATTCTTATTACTTCGTAAATGAAATTCTCCACATAGTTAATTCCGTGTTGAGTTAATTCACCGCATTACAAAACCAAGATTGATTTAACGAGGGAGAAGGCGAGTTCTTTAGAAAATCTTTAGAATATCTTTAAGAAATTCCAATGCATTTCTTACCAGAAAGCCAAAAGAATCTCTCACATACAATCATTTCTAGAAAAATCGTAATTAACACAAGACCATTTACATTGAATGCTTTTATAGGTTATTTGTTATTAGCATTTTTGTAATCGAATTATATTCGGAAATGGATTCATTTTTAAAAGATGAAATAGGGTTGTTTAGGAAAATTTTAGAAAAAATGGTCTCGCTGATGATCCAGTCTTAGGTTTTTTTTTTTATTATTTTCTGTTATTTATTTTATCTCTTTATTGTCTTTTTACAATTTTATATCTATTTTGTGTGTTTCTTTTGTTCTTGTCTTTTTACAGTTTTACCTATATTTTTCTAGTCTTATTTTTATTCATTTGTCTTTTTACAATTTTATCTTTTGACATTTATTTACTTTTCAAATTTTTATTTATTGACTTATATAAACCTTTTTTTCTTCTGGCGTACTGTATAAATTCCACTTTTTGATACTGAAAATCTTTTTTATTACTTTTAAAATTCTTAACGCACACTGCGAAAAAAATGCCTATGGGAAGGTTTCTATAGTCCTGAGAGGAACCCACTAAAAATTAGAGTTACATTAACTAAGATATTATTATGGCAAGGAATTTGTTGGGATAGCTATACACGGAAAAAATTAATTCAGTATATTTTACAAAATAGTGCGGAGTAGCGAATATACAGCACTTTACGAAACTGAGTTTTCAAAAATGTGATGGATATTTTTGGATAAACTGCAGAAATTTTGTTGTTTATACTTAAAATTTTTGGGGTTCATCCTAAAAATTCCTGAAATTTTACAAATTATTAGTTTGTAAAATTTAGTTATTGCAACCGAACTTTCAGGTTATTTCAACCGAACTTATCACTCTTCATACAAGTCTCCAATAACGCACATTTCTCCTCTACATTAAATACTTTTGAATGTAAGCATTTTACACTAACCGAGACATTGACACATACATGATTTAGGAAAAAATCAGGCAAAATAAAAATAAATTGTTCACCTCTGAATTTTTCTATATATTTGTATTCACTAAGAAGTCGAACGTCATTAATTTTTTCACTTTATCACTTCTCACTAATATTTTAAACAATTAGTCTTTAAAATAAAGAAATGAATTAATTAAAATTAAATTAATTAATCAATTCACAAAAAGTACAAGCTTTTTTGTGTTGACGAACGAATTAAAAAAATTTGCCATTACTCCAGAAGTAAATCCTTGCAACTGAAGCGTTTTCATGCCTAAAAGGCAAAATGAAAACTTTTAGATTTGACAACATTGAAAAAAGTATTTGGCAACGTCGCATTTCGAATTTTTAAATGTTTGAAGAAAAGCATTGATTTTATAAAACCATTGCAAAAAAAAATGTCTTAAAAATCAAACATCGGCCGGTCAGGCGATCCTCGGCGTGCTAAGCATAAAGTCTAAATTGCTTCCAGATGGTGACAATCCGATTTCAAATTGAGGAGTAACATAAAAATTTTCTAAGTCCATTTAGTTCTAACAACCGAACCACTTAGGTTAAGACAACTATTCATTTGGTTTCAACAACTGCTCTACAGACAACCGAACTCAGTTTACTTATATTTACCAAACCTCTTTTTTCCGTATAGGAATCCCACACTGAGAGAAGCTTAACGCAATATCTGAATTTTTTCAGGAACAGATATTGTACTTCAATCATGTGCAGATGCAGCACTAAAATCGAATTGCAGCAGCGACAATCGAGTACTGATTCTGAGCTAACTTGTGGGACAAATATCATTTAGTACATTATTTGTCCGCACCAAAAAGAGCAGCTGCAATTCAATTTAGAGCCAATGTTACTCGAAAGATTAGGTACACTATTTGAACGTATATATATGTTTAGTACAGAATCTATGTTTAACTTTTTTCGATGTAGTTAATGTAACTCTGACTTTTAGTGGGTTCCTCTCATAACTAGGAGCCTATAGATAAATCGCTTAGGCCTTTTTTTTCAGTTCAGCATATAACCTCAGGAATATAGAACAAAATCACATAACTGACAAACTTGGAGTGCCACTCTTGATGGTAAAAATCTTACGACAGTTCCAAGGGTATGGATGAAGAGCTCCTAAAAGAAGATTACGGATTTTAGTGGGTCGGGGCTGGTAGTAGTTCGCAAGCTTTTTTATTTTTATTTACCAATCGCACATATAACCTTAGCATGCCAAAATCCAAAGTATCTGTATGCAGATTTCCTAAAAGTACCTACCAAAGAAAAAACTGTTGTTTAGGAACACTGCGATATTGATTTAGAAGCAAGTGTTAAATTATATAATAGAAAGACTAAGTCATAGACGACAAACCTTGTAAAGGAATTTGACAAGGGGTTTCTTGGGAAGTTGAAGGAAAGTGGATCTCCATGTTTAGTTCAATGTGGCTAACCAGCAAGTTATTGCCCTCGCTGTCTAAATCCAGGTCTCTTTTTCTTGGTGGTTTCGTCTTACTAATCTAGCCAAGGGATCTGGTTCCTCGTCGGAGATAGAGAAGAGAGCATCGATAGTATGTGCGGTGATCACAGCAGGAGAATTTCACAGAGTTTTCGTGAGGGTGTGTGTATATATATATATGTGTGTATAGAAGGGATATCACTTGCGAGAGAGGAAACTGGTTTTGGTCTGGGCTGCAGTTTTTCCTCGAGTGAGAAATAGGGTCTTGGGGTGTGTAAACCCCGTTACTTATGGAGGCCATTTGAGTCTGCGGGCTCACCGGCCTCTGGCTGAGGGGTTTTAAGGACTTAGCTCGACATTAGCGTCCCCCAGAGGTGAGGGGGATGAGAGAAACGAGAAGGAGAGTATAGAAAGAGAGAGAGAGAGAGAGAGAAGAGAGTAGAGTATATGCGGAGAGACCTAGCTCTGTGCACCGGGCATTGGATAGGGTTGCGAGGGTTGAGAGGCCGTAAGGGTGGAGAGAGAGAGAGAGAGAGAGAGAATAGGGTGGCGAGAAGGTGGGATGGATGTGCGGCGATTTGGTTTCCAATCATGGGACGACGGGACGCGCCTCTATCGAGCGAGCAGAGGCCCGGCCATCCTACCCCATCCTCCTTTTTGCTTGGAGCCATGTCGGTGGTACTGGTGCAAACCAACCCAACCCTTCCTTCACGCCCTCTCTTACTCTTCCTCTTGCACTCTACCACTCTCTCCTTCTCTCTCTCTCTCTCTCCCTTTACTTCTCTTCTCTTATACGCTTCTCTCTCTCTCCCTCTATCTTTATTCTCCTTCTCTCTCTTTCTCCTTCGCTTGTACCTCCACGTCTCAACTAACCGCCTACAACCACCCACTCTCATCCTCTTTCCTCTTGCCACCCTAAAAGCAACCCGCTGCAACCTCCTCAACCGATGCACACACATACTTCTACCCTCTCGATGTCGTCCGCACTTTCCTCAGCAGTCCCCAACCTAGGCCAATCTCATGGTCTTGCTTGTCTTTATCTATTGTCTGCAGAGTTCGCTTTATGTTCAAAAATATGTCAAAGAGAGCGTGTATTCAACATCATTTGAGGTGTTTTGTCAATTTTTATTTTTTATTCAATTTTTCCTTCGTGTTGTAATCTACGTGGAATGTAGGACACGATGGAAAAATTGAATAAGATCCTCTTTTTTAAAATATTGATTATTAAACGGGGTTTGTTTTGATTTTTTTTTTCTTTACATGCTGTATATACGAACATATCTCAATTTCGATTCTTTAAAAATTTAGCCTACTTTTAAGTTAAGTATACCAATTTTTGGTGATTACTTTGAAGTTAGTTTTTCGAAATTCAAAATGGCGAACGAAGAATATTTAAGAATTGCTCTAATTTTTCTTAAAACGCATTACCCGAAGTTTTTGAGATCGCTGATCACGAATTCGAAATCAGTTTCAAAAAAATTGATTTTTTCGGCAATTGAACGCAGTTTATTTTAATGGCACATTTTTGTCTTTTGATGTATTTATTCTTTATTAATTCAAGAGGATAATTGTTATAGATTATAATAAGTTTTTTTTGGGAAAGTTTTATTACTTTGTCTGTAAGGTTATAAATAATTGCAATTTTCTGATTTGTAATGCAGTTTTATATGGTGACAATGTGATTAAAACGTTTGGTATATATGAGAAATTACTGAAATTAAAAGTAAACCATATTGTAATATAACAACAATAAAAATGTGCCTCAAACGTTGTGATTTACCGTCCGCAACTAAGTCAAGAGTGGAAATGTTAATTTAAAAAAGAGACAAGTACATGCAAGTAAAAAGTATATGGAATTATATATATATATATATATATATGGAGAAGAGGGAGAGAAAAAAAAATGTAAAACGCGCAGGAACCTTGGCCTTTCGAAAAAGATTTTATACAACCAAGCGGCACAAAGTCTCTTCGAATATAAGTTTGACCTAGAATCAACTAAGACAGAAGGGGTGAATGCATATGTATCTTCTCGTTCCTCTATTCTTTCTCTCTCTCTCACTTTTTCTCTAAAAGAAACTTCCTGCCGTTCTTCTTCTACTTTCCCTTCATATTCGCTATTGCATGCTTTTTCATATTTCATATATATATATATATATATATATATATATATATATATATTATATTCGTTAAACAAACTGTTCTCACATTTATATTTTCTATTGTTTTATCCTCACTTTTTTTTATATTCCATTGGTTTTTTTTACGACTTATTCTT